AATGAACATTACATTGAACAGCAAATCTGAGGACTTACCTTGTTTGTATTGGAAACCTAAGCTTCACAAAATTCCGTACAAACAACGGTACATTGCCGGCTCATCTGCATGTTCTACAAAGGAATTGTCCATTAGATTGACAAAAATTCTGTCCGCAGTGAAAGAGGGTCTTTAGAAATACTGTGAAACTGTTTACTCGCGTAGTGGTATTAACCATATGTGGATTCTAAAAAAACTCTAAAGAACTTCTGGATAATTTTAAATCTCGATCTTTCTCTGAAATTAATTCTATCAAAACTTTTGATTTTTCAACCCTGTATACCACCATTCTCCATGTGAAATTGAAAAATCGTCTAAAAGAAATAATTCACAATGCTTTTCAATATAAAAAGGTAAAACATGCTATACATAGAAACAAGTAATCAGTATGCTCCAGTTTCTTATTGACAACATATTTGTTGAATTTGGAGGTAGACTTTTTTAACAAATGGTCGGCATTCCTATGGGAACGAACTGTGCACCTCTCCTTGCCGACCTCTTCTTATTTTCATATGAGTCGGAGTTCCTTCAGACAATTGTCAAAAACAAGATCAAAGAAACCAGATCATTTAATTTCACTTTCAGATATATTGATGATGTTCTTTCCATTAACAATCCAAAATTTTCTGATTGTGTTCCATTAATAATATATCCTCCAGAACTAGAAATTAACTTGAGAAACAACAGACACGGGCGGCTTCCTCTGCCTCATTTTTAGACTTATACCTCGAATTTGACAGAAGCGGTCATCTCAGTACCAGAATCTATGACAAACGAGACGATTTTAATTTTGAAATTATCAATTTCCCCCCACCTTAGTAGCAATATACCAACTTCACCTGCATATGGGATTTACATTTCCCAACTCATTCGGTAATCTAGAGCTTGTAGCTGCTACTCATACTTTATAAAACGTCACCAGTGTCTGAGCAGAAAGTTGATGAACCAGGGTTATGTCAAAGAGCGACTCGTCCTAAAAAAAAGTTCATCGGAAGATACCAGGACCTTGTTGATAAATATTCCGTATTTTTAGTAATTTTACTTTTTTCTTGTATAACCTGCGTTCCGAATGGACCCGCGATGAAAAGTTAAGGAAGGAAAAACTTATACGAAACCTGAGAATACTATAGCACATATTGTGTTTTATAGAAGTCTATAATAAAACCAATGAACTGATTTAAAGAATTATTTGTATATACAAATCTTTGGTAATATATAGAGGAGGGACGATAGTGTAGGTGCCGTGTGCAAAACTTTTCATGTCACGTGGTACGATTTCTGCTTCCGTTTGGCAATCATTTAAATATTGTGAAAGAGTCGATTTGTACATGTTTTAAAATCAAATATACTCTACTGCATTCCTGGAAAATATAGCAAGTTTTCACAGAGAAAGATTTATTGATGATCGAAAATAACTTTTACTTAAAAAAAAAAATAATGTATTTTTACTTTTTTGGGATAAATTGTATGTTTGAAGATTATAATCCGTAATGGCGGGAATTTTATTCGATGTCTATAAAAATACGAGGCACAAGTTTTTGTTAATATTTCGTTAGTTCGCCAGTAGAAATCATTAACATTTGTAACAGTTAAAGAATATTGTTCATACAACCTAACACATAAAAGGTCTCCTTAAGTCTCCATCCGTTGCTGCATAGTACGACGCAAAAAACGACGATTTTCAAATAAAATGTCCAAATATATTTGTCAAATACGTGAGTAAATACGTAACCCTATGGCATAAAAACTACTTTTTCTGTGTATTTGATTATATTCAAGATAAAATGAAAATGTATCAATCGAAAAACCATGTAATAAAATAACTTTTTAAATTGTGTAGAATTTGTGTATTGGTCAGCTTCGTTATCTTATTGTGTTTTCTCGGTTTTTTTGGTACAGATAAATGAGGAATGAAAACAATATTTATAATTTTGTAATAAATAAATTTGGTCTCAGATAAAACTTAAAATCAATCAAATGAATTCTATTAATGACCATGCCGTATGAAATAAGCCCTCGGAGTAAGTATGACAAGTATATATATTCCCGACAAATAATGACAATTACCAAATTCGTTTATTATGTGTACATGAATGTATATTGTATGACCATTACAACTGTATATAACTTTTTATATTTATAATCTCAGTTAACAAATTTCGAACGTCCAGGTGATGTTCACGCCACGAACTGCTTGTAAAAAATGACACGTTTTCACTGCGATCGATTGATCAATAATATAAGACAAATCTGCGTGCCGTGTGCAGAGTGTCGTCCCTCCTCTGGGTAATATACTAAGTTTGAAGTGTGATGACGGATGATCCGAAGCTGTAAAATTTCTCCTTAACAACATTGACTGTAAGTTTGGACAATAAAGTTAATCGACAGGTTATATGTATTCCAATAGGCACTAATTGCGCCCCCTTAATATAGCAGACTTGTTCCTGTATTGTTATGAATCAGTTTATGACCAATTCCATTTAATTGCTAAATTAAACAACACATACCGTTATATTGATGACATATTTTTTGTTAAATAATCAAGAAGTCTCTAAATATACTGCCGAAATATATCCAAAAATAAATCCAATATAAACAGCAATAACTGTCCATTTTAAGATTTAGATATTTCAGTTTTATATGGTGGCCTGATAATTAAGACCATTTCGCGTTTTCGCGTTTTCTATAGGTCGAAAACGCGAATTCGAAAACGCAATAAGGGGATTACGAAAACTCCAAGGAATTTTCAAAACGAAAAGTCCCGTATCAAATCCAATGCTCAAACACATCAAACGAATGGAAAACAACTGTCATATTCCTAATTTGGTACATGCAGGCATACCAAGATAAGAAACACGTGTCAAGCCGACTCATATTCGTGTCACATATATTTTTATTATTATGACCATTCAGATAGTAGTTTGTAATACAAAAACTAGTTGAAGAAACTATATACTATTATGTATAGTGGCTAAAAATGGAACGTGATTTGTAATGATTTTTTTAGTCTCAAACAGGTTATTAGGCGTATCCCAATAGGAAGATAGAGTTATCGTTCATACAAAGCTTCCTTTTCCGGTAATATTATAAAAGTATGACTGTTATTGAATTTACTTTAAAATCCACACAAATCTGTTATTAAAATACTATGTTTTGACTAAACAAATTGTAGAATTAAACACTATGTTCATTATGATGACTTTTAAATATTTAAAACCCTATTTCTGCCACATGATAATCGTGTATGCACTTACCAAGTAACCCATGGCCAACATTGATAACTAAAATTGTCCGTGTAATTGGTAACATTTTACCAAATGTAAATTAATGTGTCATTTGTTTTAAAGTAATCGTTAATTTCATTACTTTATCACTGCTGTATAACATACCAAAAAAATGTTAAAAAAAAAGTAATAGCCTTCTTGGCTGAAACAGTGAAAGTGAAACCGAGATGAGTAAAATTTACCAGAGGCAGAAATGTTCTAGTAACTCTTGAAAAAAAGCTCCATTTTGGCACCCTATCATCCGAAATTATCGGAAAAGTGTTCAATTTGATTGCATCTTGAGTAGTTATGCATGTTGTTCTTTAAAAATAATTTCTTCATGACATAACAATTGTTTTGTAATTATTGCCCAACATTTTAAGCCAACAATGATGATACAAAACTTTCCCTCAACTGAAATATTATGATGTGTAAGTTTTATTCTGAAATTGGCTGTCTTTTGACTAACATTTATATTTATCCTTGATGTCTGTATATTTGTTGATGGACATCTTAATCATGTTAATTACTTTTCTTCTATAATAGCAGGGTATGTACTGATAGTAATGCAACTTTATACTAATATCATTGATCTATCACAAGTAGATCCTATCAAACTAAATAAGAAAACTTAACATTGAAAATTGCTTATCAATTCAAAGTCACGTGCAGCCCATGTTTTATTCAAATTAGAACATGGCTTTGTTTCCAAAGCTGAAGTAGAACGTCATATAAGAATCTGTCACAAGTGACGGCAGGCAAAGACAAAACAATATGTTTAAGTTCATTACGTTTTCATCATGAAACTACGGCAAACATGTGGTATGAAGAATTCATATGAAATGACGAAATGCCGACTCGCTGATTCTATATGTGTACATCTGTGTTTAATTAATTTTGATGATCATTATTGACCTAACTGATAGGATTATCTGTAACAATAAATTATGAGACCTGTTGTATCCGTCAATTAGCTTGGGGTCGTAAACTTGTCATAAACTTGTCACCAGGTAAAATTTTGCACAATTTATATTTTTACTGTTACAAATTTAAGTGACGAAATCGATCAGAAATACTTTCATCATTTCAAAAATTTTCGTTAATGGCGAAAATGATGATCGCTAGCAAAATAACCATAAAATAGTCTTGCAGTATAATGTAATTATAAAACGATAAATATACAAATTCCAATATTTTGACTTTTTGGCATTGACACTTAAATTTGTAAACATTTTAGAACCTGATGAAACAGTTTATTTTCCAATACTACAAAGATCTACAGAAATCTATAGTGTCATGTTGTTTTTAGATATAAAGCATGACATGTTCACACCAGGTATCCTGATCTGTATTTATGCGGAGGGATCTGAATCTGGAGGAACAATTAATGTAAAGTAAGTAATGGTGGGTCAGTAAAATCTGGAATACCATTTTATGTTTCTTTGGGAATCCGATCCAGATTTTCCTACCCTCTGTTGCATACTTTTCATTAATTGTTCTTCGATTTCGGATCAGGATACCCGTTGTGATGTTCCAATAAAATCTGAAGATTTGGAAAGCATTAGTTTGTTGAAAAAGGTAGTGATGCCACTTAATATTTAAAAGAGCAGGTGTTGGCATATTTAAAACCGTGGGGATGTAAAAAAAAAGTGAAAACATTCTTCAGTCAGTGATTATAGAATATGCATTTGACTTAATTCTAAAAAAAAATCTTGCATTGTTTATTTTCATTTCTGTTTTAGTTAGCCAAAATGGCGATCAGACCCCTTGTAAAAAATAAACAGTTGAAGAAGAGAACAAAGAAGTTCATCAGACATCAATCTGACAGATATGTTAAAGTGAAGGTAAATTAGTACATGTACACGTGATCTTATAATAAATACTAATCCACTGTTCATATGTTACCAGGGTTTAACATTAACTTTGTTATTAACTTGTCCCTTGAGACAATTGCAATTGAAATGAAAGTTAAATCCACTTGTCACCCATATCAAAACCACCTCTCTTTTTGGGACTTGGTTAATATTCAATATACTGATATCAATTGAAAAATTGTTTCTCTTCAATTTCCTTCTTTCATGTCTATTTCAAAAGTAGGGCCAAACAAAAATATACTTGTGTTTAGGGTTCCCCCCCCCCCCCCCCCCCCCCCTGAAAAAAGGGAAGATAAGAATTTTGTTTTTATCTTGCAATAAAATAATGAGTATATAGAGGCTTAAAAATAGGGTAGGTAGGGAAACTCCAAATACAAGTATTTTGTTTAATTTGGCCTAATTGAAAATGTTGGAACACAAATATTAACATCCATATGATATGCCATAAAAAATTGAGCAATCTGATTAGTGTAACAAAAGTATAGAATAGGTATATTTATATACATGTATGTAAGCAAGCTGCAAACAAAGATTTTTTGGCCAAAGTTGTTTAATATTCATAATAGAAGGCAGGGAAAAATACTCAAATTACTTTAATAAGTGATTTTTTTAATGTGGTTAATTACTCCCTAATTTTAAACATGACAGATTCAATTTATTTTAGGTTGAAGAAAATAACTTGTCCAATTGCTTTGGTTGTCCAAATGTAACTTTCACTTGTCCTGGACAAATGGAAACTTTATGTCGAACCCTGTTTACCAAAGATAGTTAGTCTTGCATGCTTTTAGTCACTACTCTTAAGTATTGTTTGCATGTAAATAGAGAAGATTGTGTTTGTTCAAGCATAAAGAATGCAAATCTTGTATAAAAAGCCAAAAATGATGATAAAAAAACTTTCCCTCAACTGAAATAATTTGATGTGTAAGTTATATTCTGAAGTTGGCTGTCTTTAAACAGTATTTTGTCATGAATTCCATTTATGGAGTTCACATGAAATTAACAAAATTTACAGCATTTCTGAAGCTTAAATAAATGAGTGATTGACAGATTTTGTTAAAAAAAGACCAGATCATACACAGTTAACTTTCCGAATTTTTATAGTTCTTCAAAATGTATGTGGTCATGCATGTAGCCCCTAAGGTCTTTACCGTAAAATAACCCATTTTAAGGGCAGACATGTACCCCAAGTATTTCAAGGGCAAACTAACCACATTTAAGTGTTCTAACAGTAAGTTAGGATACCTTCCTCCAGCTATTTGATGTATGTATTAGTATGTAACTAATTAACTAACTATACATTTATATTTTTCAGACTAACTGGAGGAAGCCCAAGGGTATTGACAACAGAGTCAGGAGGCGCTTCAAGGGGCAGTTTTTGATGCCAAATATTGGTTATGGATCAAACAAGAAAACCAGACACTTGATGCCTGATGGTTTCCAAAAATTCCTTGTACATAATGTTAAGGTAATCAAATAGGAGAAATTCTTCTGTTTTATATTTTTGTTCTCCCCAACTCAGCTTGTTATATGATGAGTATTGTGGGGTAACATTTTGAGTTTCTGTGAAAAAAGGGGCCCCTAGTTAGCTAAAGTTTGGACTGATGCTTGTAAAAAGTATATGCATTTATCATATATGTAGCTGCCCCCCCCCCCCCCTTAAATCTGCCTCGGGTCGTCAATCTGATTAAAATAGATTCTGTGTAAACTTTCCTTATAAAAGTCTGACAACACACTGTTATAATTTCTGTTCTGGTAATTATACATTAGTCAAAGAAATTTTAGCCTTAAAATTTTGAAAGATGTGCATTATTAAAACTAATCAAGAGGATCCAGAAAGGTCTTTAAAACAGATAGTAGAATGGAGCGTTGTCAGATTATTGTAAGAGAAGCTTGGACACAGGATCAATATTTCAATCAAATTGTTAGTCTTCACCATGAAAAAAACTGACCAATGCAAAAATCTGTTTCTTCTACATTGTACTACTACTCTGCTTATGCACCTGTGGTTCTTTGAAATTTTTATGCCCCCGCCGTAGCGGAGGGGGCATTAAGTTTTACCCTTGTCCGTCTGTACGTACGTCCGTCCGTACGTCCCGAAATTGGTTTCCGTTCTCTAACTTGAGTTTGCCTCAACCAAATGTTATGAAACTTATACACAATGCTTATTACCACAAAACACAGATCAAGTTTGAATTTTGGTGGCGATCTAGAGTTATGCCCCTTTATAAAAGGAAAAATTGCAAAATTTTTATTTTCTTCTAAATATCAAGTTTATATAATATATTTTTAAAATTGGAGTTATCTTCCTTTGACCATGATTAAAGTTGAATCAACTACAATCAATGCTTTATACAATGCAATGTTTAATTTTGACTTCCACTGATAAAACACAGATCAAGTTGAATTTGGGTAGTGTCACTTTAACCATTATTGAGTTATGCCCCTTTATAAATAGAAAGATTGCAAAATTTTTTAGTTTCCATTCTGTAACTGAAGTTTTCCCCAGCCAAACATTATGAAACCTATACACAATATTCATTACCACAAAACTCAGTAAGGATCAAGTACAATTTTTTTGTTTCAGTTCTCTAACTTGAGTTTGCCTCAACCAAATGTCATGAAACTTATACACAATGCTTATTACTACATAATACAGATTAAGTACGAAATTAGGTGGCAACACTTTTACCATTCTAGAGTTATGTCCCTTTATAAACATAAATATTGCTGAATTTTTTAGTTTGTCTCAACCAAATGTTGTAAAACTTATACACAACCGTTCTAGAGTTATGCGTGTTTACAAATAGAAAAATTGCTGAATTTTTAGTTTCTGTTCTCTACTTAAGTTAGCCTCAACCAAATGTTATGAGACTTACACACAATGCTTATTACCACAAAACTCAGATCAAGTTCAAATTTGGGTAGCGTCACTTTTACCGTTCTTCAGTTATGTCCCTTTATAACTATATGATATGCAAGCGGGGGCATCATCTGTGTCCACATGTGGACACTATCCACATTTATTTATATTCTTTAATGACATTATTTGAAAAGACCATTAGTTTTATTAGATTTGTGAAATTCAAGAGGGAGGAAGATTTCAGTAAAAGCTCTGTTTATAAAAAATCACAAAGGAGGAGGCCTGGTAAGACCCCTTCTTGGTCCCAAAATATAGCATTTTATAAATTTGTTAAAATTGTAAATTTTAAGCTATTTATTGGAAAGTAGAATACTTTTGTTACATAAATATGGGCTGTTTTTTGACAATACAATGCACATGCATCAGGTACTAGCATCAGTAATTCATGCAAAATTACTAAAATCCACAATTTTAGCATTTGTGCTAATTCTTAGACGTTGTTTTGTCTAAATTAGAAGTGGCGGCACTTGTGTTTAGTCTTATATTCCAATATATGTTGTATTTGATGATAATACATAACATATATAAAGGTTTAGACTGAACACGAATGCGGCCACTTCCATTTTAGACAAAAACGATCTGAAAAGTGATGTTTTTGATATATTTGATAGATTTTTCATATTTAAGCTTGAATTGAGAGTCTTGAATGACCAAATCAGTTCAAATCTCTTACACAAACTGATTGAATCGACTGAAGAAGAAACTTAAATGTTTAAAAAATGTTAAAAACCTTTCATCAGATGTACTTCGAATTTTAGGCCAAAATTAGCCCTTACCGGACTTTCTCGTTTGAGAAATTGAGAGATGTCCGTTTGTGCTAGGTTTTCAACAAAAATTATACTGTCAGTATAACATGCTATTTCAAATTGATTTGCGGTGTAAGAAATTGTATCAGCAGTCATTTTCTATATGGCCAGTAAAAACACAAAACATTCATAGTGGTAGGATTTAATGAAATATGATACATGTACTATGTAGACAAAAATGTGCAAGCAGACCCTTGCTGACTTGTCAGTTTTCAATTTTACAGATAAGACTAAGAAAAAAATATGAAATGCTAAGTATATAGTTAAGATTAAGAAAAAAATATGAAATTCTAATTCAAAATAGTTGTAAGCTCCTAGGTCATTTGGTCTGAGGTGGAGAGTTGTCTCATTGGCAATCATACCACATCTTATTTTTATAAGTAGAGACCAAATCTTCATTCCAAAATTATGTGGATTTTTTTATGTTGTTTGCACCTGGTTAAGAATTTTCAATTTTTTCTTTACAATTTTAATATTTTTCTTTATGAAAACTAGTTGACTTTATTTTGAATTTCTTGTAAATATCTGAAAATCCTTAAAAATATTCTTGTCATCTGCCATCCTTACACCTTTGACCTCTTCTTACAATACATTAAGAAAGTTTTTCATTGCCAGAATTATTTAATCACTTTACTCTCTGGGGGTCTTTCCATAGCCAAGCAGGAGTTAGAAGTATATTTCAGAGGGAGCCAACATCTCATTGCAAGAACTTCTCTCGCGCTCTAAAGAAAATTTATCCAAACTTGCATATAATTGACACCTGTAGGGAAGTGGTACACTTTATTTTGCCTTAATATTGATGGGGAACTTTTGTACAAAGGGTATCCATAGTTTAAATATGGACTGTCATTTGTTACACTGAAGGAGGTAATTCATTGAATAACTAAAGTAGAACACATATTTCTTTCTTGGAGTAATGAATATCTCCATTGTTATTGTCATCTGACTTGGTTCAAAACAAAGATGACTATGAAGTAACAAGTCCATACCATAAGTACCTTTTAATGGGAATTTAACATACCTTTCTTTATTTTAGCAAAAAGCAACTTATTGTATGAGAAGTATTATTTTTGTACTTTTTGATTTTATTATATCTTTGTACACATTTTTGAAAAGGACATGTTTCAAGGAGTTTATAATATAATTTGGTAGTTCAATTTCGAAAAAAGTTTACCTGAAATTCTTCACATTTCTTTTAATAGGAATTGGAAGTACTTCTGATGCAGAATAGAACATTTGCAGCTGAGATTGCCCACAATGTATCTAGCAGAAAAAGAAAAGAAATTGTTGAGCGTGCTCAGCAGTTGTCTATCAAAGTGACCAATCCAAATGCCAGACTGAGATCAGAAGACGATGAATAGAAAAATAAAATGGGGCTAAATAAATTTATGTCTTTGTTTAATTTCCCTAATTTGGAATAATAACAATCCTTAATATCCAGCTGTTCATGGATAAAGGATTTTCAGTCCATTTAGTTCCTTCATAGTAGTGTCCTTTTACCTGATAATTTTGACAGCCAAACATCCTCGTCATCACAACTCCTTACACGTTTCATTTTCTCTATCTGAAACTATATAGATATTTAGATTTACGTTTTACGTTTTACATAGATGTACATATGGCATGATGTGGGTAAAATCTTCAATTTATTAGATTTTTATACGACCGCAAAAATTAAAAATTTTTTGGTCGTATATTGGTATGACGTTGGCGTCGTCGTCGTCGTCGTTGTCGTCGTCGTCGTCGTCCGAAGACACATTGGTTTTCGCACTCTAACTTTAGTTTAAGTGAATGGATCTCCATGAAATTTCACCATCAGGTTCAATACCACGAAAGGAAGGTTGGGATTGATTTTGGGGGTTATGGTACCAACAGTTAAGGAATTAGGGGCCAAAAAGGGGCCAAAATAAGCATTTTTGTAACTTTCAGACAATAACTTGTGTGTAAGTGTATGGATCTCTCTGACATTGTACCACAAGGTTCCATATCACAAAGGGAAGGCTGTAATTGATTTTGGGGGTAATTGCCTCAAAATTTTAGGAATTAGGGGCCAAAAAAGGGGCAAAAAACAAGCATTTTTCTAGTTTCATGACAATAACTTGTGTGTAAGTGTTTGGATATTTCTGAAATTGTACTACAAGGTTCCATATCACAAAGGGAAAGCTGGAATTGAGTTTGGGGGTAATTGCCCGAAACGTTTAGGAATTGGGGGCCAAAAAGGGGCCAAAAATAAGCATTTTTCTAGTTTCCAGACAATAACTTGTGTTCAAGTGTATGGATCTCTCTGAAATTGTACTGCAAGGTACCATACCACAAAGGGAAGGCTGGGATTGAGTTTGGGGGTGATGAATCATAAGGGGGTTCAAAAAATTTGGGGGGGGGGATTTTTTTTTTTTTTTTTTTTTTTATTCCTTTTTTTTTTCTTTTAAAATTTTCCATTTTAAGTTGGTTATTTCTGATTTATATTTAAAAGCAAATAATAATGATATGGTAGGAGATACACACCAAACAGGATGTGTAAATTATTATATAATAAGTATTGTGCAATAGCAAGAAATTTTCAATTGCACAGTATTGCACAATAGCAAGAAATCTTCAATTGCACAGTATTGCGCAATAGCAAGAAATCTTCAATTTAACAGTATTGCACAATAGCAAGAAATATCCAATAGCACAATATTGCGCAATAGCAAGAAATTGTCAATTAAACAGTATTGCGCAATAGCAAGAAATATTCAATTGCACAGTATTGTGCAAAAGAAGATACTTCGTATAAATTGCTTATTTCTTGATCAATTTCAATGGGGTTTTATTCTTGAATTCTTGGGGTTCTTTAATATGCTGAATCTAACCGTGTATTAAGTTTTTGGATTTTGGGCCCCGTTTTTAAATTGGTCCACATTGAGGTCCAAAGGGTCCAAAATTTAACTTTGTTTGATTTCATCAAAAATTGAATTATTGGGGTTCTTTGATATGCCGAATCTAACCGTGTATTTAGATTTTTAATTTTGGGTCCCGTTTTTTAAATTGGTCTACATTAAGGTCCAAAGGGTCCAAAATTAAACTTAGTTTGATTTTAACAAAATTGAGTTCTTAGGGTTCTTTGATATGCTGAATCTAAACATGTGTTTAGATTTTTGATTATGGGCCCAGTTTTCAAGTTGGTCCAAGTTGGGGTCCAAAATTAAACTTTGTTTGATTTCAACAAAAATTGAATATATGGGGTTCTTTGATATGCTGAATCTAAACATGTATTTAGATTTTAGATTTTTGGCCCAGTTTTCAAGTTGGTCCAAATTGGGGTCCAAAATTAAACTTTGTTTGATTTCAACAAAAAATGAATATATGGGGTTCTTTGATATGCTGAATCTTACCATGTATTTAGATTTTTTATTTGTGGGCCCGCTATCAAATTGGTTCATATTGAGGTCAAAAGGGTCCACAATTAAACTTTGTTTGATTTCATCAAAAATTGAATTATTGGGGTTCTTTAATATGCCAAATCTAACCATGTATTTAGATTTTTAATTTTGGGTCCTGTTTTTTAAATTGGTCTACATTAAGGTCCAAAGGGTCCAAAATTAAACGTAGTTTGATTTTAACAAAAATTGAATTTTTGGGGTTCTTTGATATTCTGAATCTAAACATGTGTTTAGATTTTTGATTATGGGCCCAGTTTTCAAGTTGGTCCAAGTTGGGGTCCAAAATTAAACTTTGTTTGATTTCAACAAAAATTGAATATATGGGGTTCTTTGATATGCTGAATCTAAACATGTATTTAGATTTTAGATTTTTGGCCCAGTTTTCAAGTTGGTCCAAATTGGGGTCCAAAATTAAACTTTGTTTGATTTCAACAAAAGTTGAATATATGGGGTTCTTTGATATGCTGAATCTTACCATGTATTTAGATTTTTTATTTGTGGGCCCGCTATCAAATTGGTTTATATTGAGGTCAAAAGGGTCCAAAATTAAACTTTGTTTGATTTCATCAAAAATTGAATTATTGGGGTTCTGTGATATGCCAAATCTAACCGTGTTTTTAGATTTTTAATTTTGGGTCCCGTTTTTTAAATTTGTCTACATTAAGGTCCAAAGGGTCCAAAATTAAACTTAGTTTGATTTTAACAAAAATTGAATTCTTCGGGTACTTTGATATGCTGAATCTAAACATGTGTTTAGATTTTTGATTATGGGACCAGTTTTCAAGTTTGTCCAAGTTGGGGTCCAAAATTAAACTTTGTTTGATTTCAACAAAAATTGAATATATGGGGTTCTTTGATATGCTGAATCTAACCATGTATTTTGATTTTGGACATTGGACCATAATAGGTAAATTAAAAAAATTGAAGTTCTTAGACCACATTCTTTCTGTGTCAGAAACCTATGCTGTGTCAAATATTTAATCACAATCCAAATTCAGAGCTGTATCAAGCTTGAATGTTGTGTCCATACTTGCCCCAACTGTTCAGGGTTCGACCTCTGCGGTCGTATCAAGCTGCGCCCAGCGAAGCATTTTATTCATTTATGTTCTTTGAACTTGTGACGGATTTGAGTAATAATTTTTGTCATCACATCTCCTTGTTTTTAAATATCCATCGTTTATGTGGATGTGGATTAAGAACTGGTTGATTAGCAGCATGATACTTTTACTTCTTGAAATAAATAGAAACGAGGTGTAAAGCAATTACCTGCTAATAGTCAACAATCTCCTTAATAGCATATACATATTATTAATCTCAATGTTCATCCATCTTTGCATACCAAACATAATTGACCTACCACCAGTGGTTGCCCTAAAATTGACATAATCGGAAACGGCATGCCTATGTTTCGTGAGTAATATCTGCTTTTGCTCTCATCTTGAAAATCCTGTTCTTTCATTCATCTTTTTGGGAAAGTTTGCTAAGATTTTGACAAAAATTTCAAAGGAGGGAAAATATACTTCCTTAAAATCCAAATTTAAAAAGTAGGAATACACACGTGAACTAAACCTCAAAAGATGCAAATAATATTTTTATATTAAATCAACAGAAAACTTGGAACTATGGTAGATGACTGGTTTCTCAATGTAAACAACAAAACATTAGGCCGTAAAAAAAAAAATCTGTGTTTCCGGTAACCCGACCGACCCTGTTTTTTTAGCCCAGACCCTAATTTTTTTATTCGATCTTCAAAAAAAAAAAAAAAAAATTGGTATCAACCGACCCTGTTTTTGACACAGGCTTCTGTTAATCGACATAATTATTTATCTAACTGCACAGAAAGCCAGTAAAACATTTTATTTACGTCAAAAGGTATTCCAAATAGGTTAAAATCCAAGAAATTTGCACAGCAGGTGCTTCAAAACATTGCAAATGGCCGCACTTCCGGTATTTGAAACTAATTAGGGACACGGACTTGGAAAAACCATGATAATTTTCCAGATTTCGTTTACAATGTCAAAAAAAAAAAATCCGACCTACCGACCCTATTTAACAAAATGATGTTACCGGAAACACAGATTTTTTTTTTTAGGCCTTACATGTACATGCAAATATATTCAGAATGATGACATGTCAGCTTTATCATATTGATATTCATATTCTGAAAGTATTAAAGAGAACGAGGTTAATAAAGGCTTCTAATGACCAGTCGCCAGTAGTACATGCAAATATATTCAGAATGAGGACATGTCAGCTTTATCATATTGATATTCATATTCTGAAAATATTGAAGATGAACGAGGTTAATAAAGGCTCTTAATGACCAGTCGCCAGTAGTACAAGTTTGTACATTCATCATGACAAAAGTGTATAAACTCCGACAATTATTCAGTTTTCGTCTTGCCTAAAACGAAAGTCGCAGAATGCGAGACCGACCTCATTTTTATGGTTCAGTAGATTTTTTGTCATGTGAAATACTCTTGTCAATTTGAGTAATAGAATAACTAACTATAATTAGTTTATGGGATCCTTACAAGGATCAAGGTTGAGTGTATCTCGGATATAAGCAGTATGTCAACTATATTTGGTGTATGGAATGATTGTTAGGTGTACATGTTGGAATGCTGAGTTTCATTTGACTTTTACTCAAATTTCATGGTTCATTGGTCAATGCTCAGATTTCATGTTTTTTTTTTGTCGCAAAAGCGAGACATAGCGATCCTACATTCCATCGGCGGCGGCGTCCACAAATATTTACTCTGGTTAAAGTTTTTCAAATTTTCATAACTTTCTTAAACTATCCTAGATTTGTACCAAACTTGGACAGAAGCTTGTTTATAATCATAAGATAGTATCCAGAAGAACATTTTGTAAAAAACAAAAATCCTGTTTATCCGTATTTTACTCATATATGGACTTAGTTTTTCTGCCAGTTAACATAACATTCACTCTGTGGTTAAAGC